CGCGGTGCCGTCAGAGGGGCCTCCAGGGCTGCTCTGAAAACCTGACGGCATGATATGGCTGTCTCAGTCCCAGCAGTGTGGTGAGAAACATTCTGGGTAATGTGTGACCATTTCACATCACCATGTGGGAGCCTGGGGCAGAGGGGGACGGAAAATGGGGGTGGGGGGGTGTGTGTGTGGGTGAGAATTACTCACACACTTTGGAAGCACCCGACAGAGCCAGAACACAAGCTGCACAAATCACGCTCCCTAAGGAGTGTTCTACAGAAAAGACATGGCTAGGAGAAAGCAAATTGTCCTCTCAGCCTCTACTCACTAGGAGTTTTGCCACAATTCCAGTCAGAGGTAAACATTAGGGAGCAGGGTTTTGGCAGTCACAATACCCTGATTTCATTCTCTCACCCTTCATTCCTTTGGCCATGTCACTGCCAGGTTGCAACACCTAAAAGAACTTGTTTTCTTAGACAAAGTTTGTAGCTCGTGATAGATTAAGCACTGGGGCATCCTCTCACCCTGCCTGAACAGTGCAGGGTCCCAAAGCAAGATGCAGACAAGTCACTTAAAAAGCTGACCCCTCCTTCACCCTAAATTAACTTGTCCCTATCCCAAGAACTTGACCCTCATCCTCAAGCTCCTCCTCCACACTACTCTCACCCTTGTCCTGCAGTTATTGTGAGTTTTCCACAGGCAATGACAAACCTCGTGACCAACAGGAATTTGCCCACACCTGTTCCGCACAGGTACCTGTTTCCAAGGAGCTAACAGTTCAGAAGGAAGAGAAAGAAAAAAGGCAAGGCTGTGGCATTGTCTGCAGAGGAAAAGCAGTACATCACAACTAGCTTCTGAACTGGGAATACACATGCTTTTCTCAGGAAACCATTTCACTCATGGTGAATCAGGTTGCCAATACCTGGTAGACAGCCACGCAAGGAAGATGTCGAGGCGAGTGATTTTGAGTGAGTAATAAAAGGCATTATAATTAGGCTAAAACTCAGCACAAGCCTCTACTTGCACTGCAGTCTTACAAAAGAAACTGAAAAATATTGAAAATACACTTATTACAATCAGTAATTCTCTGTCCTGGTAGGAGCCCTCCACTAGCTAAAAGGGACACACGTGGGTGGTCCCCGCCTTCAGAAACAGAGTTCCTCTCTTGGGAGAGGTAACGGCCTTTGGAAGCCCAGGCAGTCCCCGGGACGCGTGGCTCAGGCCAGGACACCTCGCTGGGAGCCAGCGCGGTCAGAGCTCCCACGCGCTCCAGTGAGATCATCACCTTGGGCCAGAAACCTGTCATTTGAAAGCCACTTTCGTTTTATAGCTTGGCAATAGCTCCAGATGGCAAAAGGGGAGGCAGCAGAGGATGGAACATGAACTTGGCTCCCACTGCAGTCACACACCGTGCCTGTCACAGGACAGGGCTGCTGCCCAGCCAGCCCCCGTTTATTGCCCGTTCTGGGTCATGCAAAGGCATAGGGCTCCCCCTTCTTGAAGAGTTACAGTTTGATTTCACCATGGAAATACTGAAGGGAGAGAAGGGGAAGAACACTCATGCACAGAAAGCCATTCAACGGAAATGAGCAGACATGAGGGCATAGCTATGTAGAAGAAAAAAAGCCAGCGAATGAAGCTGGGGATCAGCAGAGAAGTGCTGCAGCAAACAGCTTTCCAATCCTGGCCTGAGCAGACCTCTCCTGGCTGCTCCAGCCAAGCACAAGCCTTCCAGGACGATTTCACGCAGAGCACGAGGGGAGTGCAGGAGCAGGAGGGGCAGGACGCAGTGCCCGTGTCCCTGCGCCCCCTGTAACAGCCCTGTGCTTCTGCAGTGAACAGGGAGTAACCCATTCCAGGTAGCTGCAATAACTTAATTTTGCTTAAACTTGACTTTGCTTGGAGTTAGGGAAGTGACTCAGCTTACTCACAAGGCAGACCATGGCCTCTGTGCATTTTCCTGTTGCACCATTTCAGTGTGGGTTTGGCTGCTGGGTCCTGGAAAGCTTTGTCATCTGTCTGCCTCGCAGCCCTCCCACTTCACAGAATTTGTCCTGATGTTAACTACAGCAGTGATTGCCCTCAAGCAAAAATAGAGTATTTCTAATAGAATTAAACCTAACCTGAGTGAAAATAAAATTCGTTATTTTCAGTAAAAACAACTAACATGTTCATCAGCACCTCAGCTACAAGCAGTAAGATCTTTCACTAACCACCACCGTAGTCAAAAGGAGCTAGAAACTAGTGCCTATAAAAACAGTAACTACCACATCTAAATACAGACACTTCACTGCAAGTCTCCTTCCAGGGCTTATGTACCCTTTTTTACTGCTGCAAAATTGATGCATAGATATCTCTACTACTTGGCCAACCTGAACTTTGAAGAGAGATTTGCAGTACAAAAAAATCTTACTTACAAAACATGTTAAACCAGTTTCTGTGCTTAACATTACAGTTTCCTTCCTTATGAATGGCAATGCAAATAGGGTTTTCTAAATAATGAGAATACACATGTATTTTAGTACACACCTAACTACTTAACAGTTCTTAACTATTTTCTGCCACTACCAGCACACTAGGGTGCAATATACCATAACAAAATATATGATAATCACAGAATGTTAGGGATTGAAAGGGACCTCAAAGGATCATCCAGTCCAAACCCCCTGTCTGAGCAGGACCACCTAGATCAGATCACACAAGAATGTGTCCAGGCAGGTTTTGAACATCTCCAGAGGAGACTCCACAACCTCTCTGGGAAGCCTGTTCCAGTGTTCTGTTATCCTTACTGTGAAGAAGTTCTTCCTCATGTTTAAGTGGAACCTCCTATGTTCCAGCTTGGATCTATTTCCCCTTGTCCTATCATTGGATGCCACTAAGAGGAGCCTGGCTCCATCCTCATGACAGTATAATGCCCTAGAAAAGTTCAGTCGTGAATAAAAGTTCTGGAACAATTATCCAACAAAAGTACATGCTGCCTTAAAGCTGCAGGCATAATTCCCATTCTGACTGGACAAGAACAAGAAGCTGAAAAAATGCTTCATTAATTTAGGGAGTCTGACCATACACTGGACAAATCTTCTGGGAAAACACTGCTTAGAAATGTCTGATTAGACATTAAAACACTGCTTAGAAATGTAGAAGTATGAAATAACTCAGCGTGCTTCTACAGAGAAAGAAACTAATCATCAATAATAGCATTGCTTAAGCTCAGATGACAGTAATCTTTATTTCAGGTCTTGACTGCGCAAGTATAGAAACATATACCCCATGATGGGGGGCTAGGCACACAGGACCCCCTCCTTCCCCCCACCCCAAATAAATAAATTATGGAAGCCGTGTGATGCTGTCAGTGCAAGTCTGTCACTTCCCCTTCGACCTGCACCTACGTCTCACTTCCAGGTGCGTCAGCCCCTTCCGCACCACCTTCGCTTCCCACGCGACACACAGAGCCGGGGCCATAACCGCAGGAGCCGTACTAGAACCTTGTACTTTATGCAGGGCTGCTCACTTTTAGAGGACAATGATGGCCAGAGAAACTTTAGCTCTGGCTTCGCCCCCGGACAGAGCTGTGGCTGCAGCTGCCAGGCGTCAAGCCCCGTTGTCCCCAGGGGCCTGCGTCACACGCCTGCAGCAAGTATGAGTGTTACAACCTACTGAATCCATGTCTGAGCCGCAGCAGCCCTCACTTCAAGCAAGACTGGAAGAACAAGCAACTTCTCAATTTGCCATACAGTTTATTTCCAAAGACTGGTTTGGTTCAGTCTTGGCAAGTGTGGCTAGGCTACCTTCATGTAGCAGTTGTCCTCTTGGGCAAGGGTTTGTACAAGTTTCATTTTTTTCTCATTCTTCCTGTTGTTTTCCCTCAATAGTTCTACTGATCTTTTTTTAACTGCAGGTGCCAGTCTGGATCCCTCACTGTGAACAGTGTGAGAATCAGAAGGACAGGAGTTATCCACAAAAAGAGGAGGTGACAACTTGTCTGACACCAGGAGCTCCAGGGGCTCTGCAGTTTTTGTCTCTAAATTTAGCCCAATGCTGTCCAGTGGTTCTTCTGGTAAGTTGGCTACTGAGCCACCCCTCCTGCCCACCACATGCTTTGTCACCTCTTTATCTTCCCCTGCATTTCCAAGTTCCCTCAAGCGGCTGTGCATGTGGCAGTGAAAGTCAGTATTTAGTCTGTTACTGCTGCTTTCTTGTGCTCTTTTACCAGTACAGTTCAAGCTGTTGGGTTTTGTCCCCTTTATAGTTCTTTCTCTGCTGTCAAAATCTTGACAGTTCAGCTCTAAAAAATGCAACAGCGGTTCATCTCTGCTGGTATTTTCATCTTTGCCATCACTAGACAGCTCATTAGAGTTGATGATCCAAAGGCTGTCATCACTGGTCTGTGTGACGTCCTCACTAGAGGCTAAACCTGGGACAATGCTGCAGTCAAAACCCTGTACAATCGAACAGATGTGGTCATCTGTCCTCTGGCCAGGTTCACAGATCGTGGTATCTGGAGGTGTTTCTCTCAGGTTGTTGTATAAAAGACAAATGAAGGATTCATGTAGTGACCTAGAGATAACCTCACTGTCATTGTCACAGTATGTACCCTTACATTTAACTGCATTATCGAAAGATTGATAACCAGATGGTTGAGGTCCAACGGGACAAGAAATTATATTGGCTTTCTTTTGAACACTTTGACACGTTACTTGCTTATGTATTTCCTCCTCTAGTAGGAAAGCTGAAGCACTGTCATTTGCATGTGTGGAGAAAGATGGAACATCAGTATGTTCTGAACCAGTGTTTTGAAAATCAAGCTCAGTGCAGGAAGATCTGTAGTTGATATAAAATGCCTGATTGCTAAGGGGTCGATAAATTTGACCTCTGCAGCTAAGTTCTGGTGTCTCTGAAAACTGTGTCAAAGGTGGTGAGCAGCACACATTTCCAGAACACACAGTCAGGCCACTGTTAACCATAGACTGAGACATAAGGGTATCAAAGCTTTTATATGCAGAGCTACTTGGTTCCTTGAATGCAGACACAAGAATATCAAAGCTCTTGTAGGCAGAACCACAGGGCTCCACAGATGTAGACATAAGGGTGTCACAGCTCTTGTAGACAGAACCACAGGGCTCCACAGATGTAGACATAAGGGTGTCACAGCTCTTGTAGACAGAACCACAGGGCTCCACAGATGGAGACATAAGGGTGTCAAAGCTCTTATATGCAGAGCTACACAGCTCCATGGATGGAGACAAAAGCGTATCAAAACTCTTGTGTGCAAGGTTGCTTATTGCGTCTCTTTTGGTCCCGAAGGATGGTTTATTTGGAGATTCCTGGATCAGGACACACGAGTCATGCTGACTTTCTGAACTGCATGGAACAAGGCTTTGATGAAACGTATGTTGAAGATCTCCTGCATCAACAGAAGCAGAATTTATGCTGGAGCTCTGATAGCCAGACTCAAAGGATTCTTCTGATTGTTCTGACTTCTTGCTGCCTGTGCTACAGTTGTAATCATCTTGAGAGGCTTTGGTGAAAAGGGAGACTGTATGAGAAACATCACATGGCTGCTGACTCCGGGCTGCACTTTCTTTTGGATTTTGCAGTGCCTGACTTTCTGACTCAAGTTTCTCAAAGGTTTTATTCTCACCAGTGATGATGTTTGGGTCCTTGTTGTCTTGCATGTTGCTCTCATCTGTCAGGAGGTCAATAAACATGCTGGCTAGCACATCATTGTGTTCAGCGTGCTCTCTGAAAGCACTAACACTGCTCGCACAAGGCTCAAAGATGGTGATCTGGTCACTAGTCTCTTCCTGGCTCTCAATGTCTGTCAAACATTCACAGATTTCTATAGACTCTTCAACCAGAATTGTCTCAGGGGTTAAAACTGTGCTGCTGCCTTTTGGAAACCACTCTCCGGACTTGCTGTGGCAACTGCAAGATTTCTCAACGTTTCTGATGTTATCTTTCCCCTTGAAGTTTTGGCTTGACAAACCTTGAGCCAGACAGTTCTTGCAACTTCTGTTTTTGGAAGTCAAAAGGAAAGGAGAGTTAATGTTTATGTAATAGGAAACTATTTTATACTGCAAAGCAAAGGAGGTTTTTTTTCCCCTTTATCTTACTTACATTTGGTTTTCCATATGACTCTGCTTTAAGTCATGGAAAGGGAACTTAATTTCATCAATGTAGCACAAAACTGAAAACTAATAGAAACACAAATGAGATTTAGGACACGTGTGAATTGTATTTAGTATCCCCTGCACTAGCCAGACAATAGCACTTATTACATATCCTACTTCTGGTGATCTGGAAAAGGTATCTTTTGCAAAGCCTTTAAGTTACCTTGACATTTTTTACGACCAAATGGCTCTTTGCTGGATTTGGGATTTGATCCCACCATTCTCTCTTCACTCTGCAAGGGAAGAATTAAAATTGTTTGCTTTGACTGCATTTTAACTTCATTAGCGTACACTTCCCTCTTCTGTTCTCTCCCCCTTAGCCATCTGCATTGCAGCAACAGGAAGTGCTTGTTCTGTGCATCTCCAAGTGCTGCTTTTCACTAAACTAGTGCAAAGATGTTTGTGTGTTTGGTGCGTGCCTGCTCTGCACAGCCAGTCACATGTTCTTCTGATCGTGTTTGAAATGATGTGAAAAACAGATAGGATTCCACTTTCACATTACCACTAAAAAAAATTAAAGTGAAATACAGATATGTAATCATCATTACTGGAACTCCAGCAAAGACTGAAGTCCAAAACTGACGAATCCCATAAGTGCAGCCTGTTTTGGATGCTGTAACAAGCCTGCTCTAGTAAGATTAATAAAGAACATTCAGTTATCTATTCAGAAAATGACAGAGTGCAACTGATTCGTGTTTATAAAATGCTTGCTCATAGAGAGCGAGACAAACGTGCTGAGGAAAAACAAAACATCAGATGCCTGTACTATTAGACATTCAGCAAATCCATAGCAATATCAATATCTGTGCAAACTGCTACTTTATAAAACCCATGAATAGTATGATACATACTTGGTAAAACAGAAGTAACAAATGACAGATACTGCCATGATCAGTATGCAGGATATGGGGACAGCCATCTGCAGAATGTCTTCAGCTGTTACTCGGTAATCTATTAAATAAACATGTACATTTACACGTGTGTGTACATACAAATACATGTACTGGCAACACTAAACTCATTGCTCTGCTTTTGCACCTTAAAAAAAACGCTCCTTTAGAGGATGTAAAATAAAGCCTCCAGCAGATAAACAACAGAACATACACAGCTACCAGTGGCGATGGTGTGTGGCGTGTCTGAAAGACCAGTGCAGGTACTGCAGTCAGTTACTGTGAATGTTAGGAGCTGGGAGAGCCAACACGTACTGTAAGGCCATTCATCAGCTCTCGGGGACAAACCTGTCACACAGTCCCTAAAATGGCATTATCATCTCCATTATAGTGCAGTTATGCTTCTTGTCCTCTCTTACTCTTCAGAGATTTTTATAAACCCTCAGCCCTCTGATGGTTAAAGTATTGCTTAATTTGCAGCCTAAATAGCTCTTGTTCATTTATATCCACTTGCTCTTACATCAATGCTATTCTTTAGTTTAAATACCTCTTATCCTTCCCTGGTGTCTACTTCACGAAACACTTAGAGAGAATAAACACAACCCCTTTCAGCCTTTTCTTCCCTTCGTCTTCTCTTCCTTAGTTTCCCCAGGAGTTGCCTTTTTACGTTTAGTCTCTTTGGAAGCACTTACAGATGTATCCACGATACATTCAAAAGGATGAAGATACGATTCCATAACTCTCCTTTGAGAAGAGAGCAGCAGGGTATACATGATATTGTTTATAAAACTGCACCTTCCTTTTATCATGCTGTTATTTGGTACAATACTTACCATAGTGAAATTCAACTTCTTCACTCCATTCACTCCAGTAGGCCGGGTAGTCTGTGTAGTTGCACCTTACACTTGCAACATAATCATAGCCTCTCCTCAAGGAGCTCACAGGAATTTCAAGGCTTTTTGCCTGGTAGTTAATTGCTTTTACAGAAACCTGAAAAAAAAGTGAGAAATTTCACTTTGATTTCTTTATGAGGTGAAGAGTTAGTGACAGCAGTTAAATAACAATAGTGTTCTGTGTTTCAGCAACCTCTCGCAAAGGAACAAATGAATGACTGTACACCCAGTCTGCTGTGATACTGCGTTTTGTTGTCATGAGTGGGCAGTGTTTGTGACATGCCACCATGCATGTTCCTTCCCTACCAGAAACAGGCCAGTCCTAAAGCGCTGGATTGTTCAGGAGGGTGTCTGAAATGCCTCAAGTGCACCACGGGGTCATGAATAGCCTCCAGCTTCCTGATGTCTAAGGAGCAAATAAAGTTCAGGGAACAGAAGCATTGTATTTTCCGTCTCTGCCCTGTCTACTATGAGCAGCAAACCATTTTGGGGTGGCAGTCAGAAGATGTCCGATCCTTTAAAGCCCAGCTGGACCACCCTGGGGCAATGTGACCTGTGGCAAGTGTGTGATGAGGAACACTGTGAGACTCGCCTTTGCTGGCCCTTACACCATTATTCATTAAACGGTTTCAAGACTTTTCAGAGGACTTTTTAAACCTGAAAGCTCCAGAGAGACAGAAAATGAAGAGACTGTTGTCTCTTACCTCTGTTGGGTGCTGCTTCCTCCAGTATTTCACTTCATAGATGACCGGCTGTCCAGAGAGCATGGATGGAGGAGAGTAGCTCTCCTCCCAGCTCAGATTGAAATTACCATTTTCAGCTTTCTCAATGGCAAGATTTTTGGGGGCCCTTGGCTTAACTGTGTGTTAAAAAATACAATTAAGGAGACCATGGCACTGGGAAAGCACTGACGGAGCGAAGCAGAGAGGCAAACATTCACCAGAGACCAGACTCATCGCAGCCACTGCATTCAGCCCTTCTCACCACACTGCAGCACAGGATACAGAGGCCAAAACAGAGCAACTGTAAAGTGCTCGCTAACAAGCACTGACTGCGAGCTGGCTGAACAAACTGCAGGTTCAGCCCTTCGGTGCACTGGATGTGGCTTTCAGCCTGGAAAAACAGAAACCACCTGCGCCCTGACAATCGCTGTGCCGTGGGGGAGTCCCAGAGCTCCTGCCCACCTCACAGCCAGGCCGTCCTGCCTACGTGCCTCGAGCAAACCGCTGCAGGCCCCTGCTTACTCCGCGGGTAAGCAGCAGCAACAGTCGGGTACCTGGAAACGAAGCAGCTCGGCGATGCAGCTGAATGCCCGCCTCGGGCATGCGAAGGATTCCGCTGCGTGTTTGAGGTGACAGATGTCACGAACAAGCACACTGTTCTAAACAAACTAGGCGCCTACAGAGAGACATAAACTGTATCTCTACACTCTGTTCTGTGAAAGAGCAGAGCCGTTAACTTTTTATCACTGGTTGTTATAATCCAACAGCAATTACTGTAAAAATCTGTTCAGGGGGATGATTTAACTAGCATGAAAAATCACAGTATGACAGAGACAGGAACGGGAGAAATTTCAGTAGGGATAGCCCAGTGTCTTTCTAGAAACTGAAAGTAGCACATTCCTCTTCATCCTTGAATTCTACAGCTGTAAGTGACAGCATGAGCCCCCAAACTGCTGCTGGCTGGCAGCTGAGAGGGTACAGCTAGAGGAAGAATCACTCTCTGCTTGCCCCATTATTATACTCTTTCCTTAAGAATCTACTCCAGAATCAGGTTTCTAAGCCAAACGGATTTTGCCAGTTAGTCAGCACAGCACTATTCACCTTGGATAAGGAAAAACTGTTACAGTGACATGAAGGAGGAGTTAGCTAGGATTGCAAAGCCTGGAACCAGATGTCCTGGTGACAAAGTAAACAGTTTCTTACCAACCCGGGCTGGGGTAACACTGTAATTCCACATATCAGTCCCATTGAACTGCAGAGCTAGAACATAAGTGAGGCCAAATACAAAATAATCTGGACATATTGTGCAAGTGCACCTTAAACTGTCTTTTCCATTCTCAGGGACACACACATGATTTCTGAAAAACAGGCAGAAAATTATGTGATGTTTAGAGAGTGTAGCACACTATTTCTTTGAAAAGGTGAAATTAAGCTTCCCAATGTGTAGAGCTAATCAAATCTGAGACAAATGAGCTCTGTTCCTAGAAATGTTTAGCCCAAACATACCGAAACCAAACCTGAGCTCCCTCAAACTCTCAAACAACCCACCCTCCCCAAACACCCCTTGGATATCTGTATCACACAAACAAAAAAACTTGAAAGAAAGGCTAAGCATTGATCCTAAGAGGAAAAATTAACACCCTTCATCACACTTCCAACTCTGGAGGAGCAGACTGACAGCTTGCTAGTATAGGCACAGGTTTATTCAGTGTACAAAGTAAGGTTATTTGGACGACTGTGTGGAGAAATCACGTGCAGAGGAACCAGAGAGCCCAGATGCACCTTCCTTTGCAGAAGACGATGACTGACCCTGCTGCAGAACAGGAACAACATCTGACTTGAACACAGAGTCAGATGTATGCAGAGATAATGACCTGGGCTCCAGGGCAGAGTATCTTTCACATAGGCTACAGACTCGTAAATCAGGTAAGATTTCTCCTGAAGGAGGCAAAATTTCACATGAAGTGAAGGCTGAGTAAACTTATGAGAGCCCTGCACTCCTACAAGTAGGACTTGATCACCCCTCTGTACTGAGAGTGCAGAGAGGTCTGGAGAAGAGCAGACCACTGAACAGAGTATGCTGTTAGTTGCAGCAACTCATTTTCCTCCTGGCAAGAAGAACAACCTGGATTATACTTTGTCGCAGACATCCATGGTAGTTGGAAGGAATCAAAGCTCATAATAGCTACAGGACATACGAAGTTCCAACAATGATAATGTAATATCTTATTAAACACTTACGGCAGAAAAGATTTATTCCTGTAGTAGAGCAGGAATTCTTTGGAGCAATTTGTTTGTGCAGGCACCCTCCAGTGACAAATCAGCTCTTTGTCATAGTCAGTGAAGCATGCAAATTCCTGGACATGTCCTGCAGCTGTAACTAGAGAGAAGCAGCACACAGTGAGAAAGCAGGAGAATCAAAAGCATAAATTGGACCAAGCAGAAACATTAACTTTTCCATCTAAACAGAGCTACCAACACCCTATAAATTAAGTGAAAGCCCTGTTATTTTCCGTGTTCTGGGTAAACAGAGATGCATGTCACCAAACATCTTCACCTTTCTGGAGACAATGTCTATAGTGTTGGAGAGAAAGAAGGTCTCCAGTAGTAATACTGAAACAGAAATCACGGAATGGTTTGGGTTGGAAGGGACCTTCAAGATCATCCAGTTTCAACCCCCCTGCCACAGGCAGGGACCCCTTCCATTACACCAGGTTGCTCAAAGCCCCATCCAACTTGGCCTTGAACACTTCCAGGGATGGGGCATCCACAACTTCTTGGGGCAACCTGTTCCAATGCCTCACCACCCTCAATGTAAAAAATTTCTTCCTTGTATTTAAACGAAATCTCCCCTCTTTCAGTTTAAAGCCATTACCCTGTGTCCTATCACTACATGCCCTTGTCCAAAGCCCCTCTCCAGCTTTCTTGCAGCCCCTTTAGGTACTGGAAAGCTGTTGGAAGGTCTCCCCGGAGCCTTCTCTTCTCCAGGCTGAACAGCCCAACTCTCCCAGCCTGTCTCCATAGCAGAGGTGCTCCAGCCCTCAGATCATCTTCGTGGCCTCCTCTGGACGCGCTCCAACAGCTCCATGTCCTTCTTGTGTTGGGGGCCCAAGAGCTGAACACAGTACTGCAGGAGGAGGGATGTCATGAGAACAGAGCAGAGGGGCTGCTTCCCTTGACCTGCTGCCCACGCTGTTTTGGATGCAGCCCAGGATACGGTTGGCTTTGTGGGCTGCAAGCACACATTGCTGGCTCATGTTGAGCTTCTCATCAACCAGCAGCCCCAAGTCCTTCTCCTCTGGGCTGCTCTCAATCCGTTCTCTGTCCAGCCTGTACTTGTGCTTGGGATTGCCCTGACCCACGTGCAGGACCTTGCACTTGGCCTTGTTGAACTTCATGAGGTTCTCACAGGCCCATCTCTCCAGCCTGTCAAGGTCCCTCTGGATGGCATCCCTTCCCTCCAGCGTGTTGACCATACCACACAGCTTGGGTGCTTGCTGAGGGTGCACTAAATCCCATTGTCCATGTCACCACCAAAGATGTTAAAGAGCACAGGCCCCAAAACTGACCCCTGAGCAACGCCACTCATCACTGGCCTCCACTTGGACATTGAGCCGTTGACCGCAACTCTTTGAGCGCGACCATCCAGCCAGTTCCTTATCTACCAAGTGGTTCATCCGTCAGATCCACGTCTCTCCAGTTTAGAGACAAGGATGTTGTGTGGGACAGTATCAAATGCTTTGCACAAGTCCAGGTAGACGTTGCTCTTCCCTTATCCACCAACGCTGTAACCCCATCATAGGAGGCCATCAAATCTGACAGGCACAGTCTGCCCTCAGTGAAGCCATGTTGGCTGTCACCAATCACCTCCTTTTTCCCCGTGTGCCTTAGCACAGTTTCCAGGAGGATCTGCTCCATGATCTTGCCAGGCACAGAGGTGAGACTGACTGGCCTGTAGTTCACCGGGTCTTCCTTTGTTCCCTTTTTAAAAATGGGGGCTATGTTTAACTTCACCGGACTGCCAAAACTTCTCAAATATGATGGGCAGTGGCTTAGCAACTTCCTCTGCCAGTTCCCTCAGGACCTGTGGATGCATCTCATCAGGTCCCAGGGACTTGTGCACCTGCAGGTTTTTTAGATGGTCTCGAACCTGATCTTCTCCTGCAGTGGGTGGTTCTTCATTTTCCCAGTCCCTGCCTTTGCCTTCTGCAACTTGGGCTGTGCAGCTGGAGCTCTTGCCAGTGAAGACTGAGGCAAAGAAGTCATAGAGTACCTCAGTGTTCTCCATATCCTGGGTAGCCAGGTCCCCTGTTTCCTTCCGGTGATGGCCCACACTTTCCCTAGTCCTCCTTTTATCACTGATGTACCTATAGAAGCTTTTCTTGTTGCCCTTGATGTCCCTGGCCAGATTTAATTCTGTCAGGGCTTCAGCTTTCCTAACCTGATCTCTGGTTGCTCAGACAACTTCTCTGTATTCCTCCCAGGCTACCTGTCCTTGTTTTATCCTCTGTAGGCTTCCTTTTTGTGTTTCAGTTTGTCCAGGAGCTCCTTGTTCATCCATGCAGGCCTCCTGGTGTTTTTGCCTGACTTCCTCTTTGTTGGGATGTACTGCTCCTGAACTTAGAGGAGGTGATCCTTGAATATTAACTGTATTTTCTTTTGATCTTTAACTTCTCTGTAATTGGTAAATATTAACAATATCTCCCTTTTCTTGCAGGAGTTGTACAGATATAAAACCTTCTTGCCTGTTCTACATCTCAATTCCCTGTAAAAATTTAGAATAGCTTTGGCTGTTTTTTAGAACCCTATTAATCGATATTTTCCTGATAGTTTCCTAAGCGATTCTGCTAGAAGGTCTCTTGTAGCAATTATGCAAGGGCCATATAAAGACATGATTTCATTTCTCTATAGTAAGTAAATAATTTTTTTCCATGGCCCAGCACATTACTAACTCTCCATTCTTGTCATTGACATTGCAAATTCAAGATTAAGTTGCCAACAATTCGTATCCTGTAAGATCCTTTTCCTTCGGCCACTGCTACTTCACAGACTTATTCTTTCCAATGGGTACCTAAGTTTCAGCTTATTTCTCCCAAGCAAGATCTTTTGTTGTCAAAAATACCTAATTTCATTTTATCCTTCCTACATTTCTACTTTTCTGTACTCTACTTGTGTTATTTATTCTGATGTAACTTCTGCGTACTCTGATACAGTACAGTATCTGCAAACATAATAAACATGACGGTCAGATGCCTTTCAATGGACATGATACACGACATACAATGGGATCTGTCACCAGAACCTCCAGTACTTTAATAAAAACCTGACTCAAACAAACAGTTAATTTTTAGTACTGTCAGGGTATGGTCTTTCACCCTCATTAAAATCCACCATTACTTTCACTTGCCTTTCTAAAAGGCAATTTTTTTCCCACAAAACTTGACTACCAAGCAGTCCTGGATCACCTGAGGAAGCTCAATAACCTCAGTGGGGCTCACTTACGCAAACGAGGATGTACAGCAATTTTACAGTATAAAAACTGTAATCTAAATTGCCTGGTATATTGACTGGCTGTAAACCTAAAACTGACTGCAGCTCAGTTTCATTAGTGTTCAAATATTTAGAAAATGTTTTGGTTTAGTTACTAAGACTAAACATTTATCTTGTAGACAAGAACTATCACTCATCTTTTCTGGATCGCAGCACCATATTTAGTTCCCTTTCATTCTGTGTGACCCCTGATTCTTCAAAAAAGAGCAAGAATCATCAGAAGAGCAGCAAATTAGAGACTAAACTGCAATACTGTAACAGTCACACTGCTCATTTATTTTAAAAGAACCATTATTTATTTATCCTGTTGCTGTTGTTTATGTTTGGTTGACATTTGAATTTTTATTGTTAGCTTCTTTTTTTTTTCCACTTTAAGATGCAATTTTAAAAGAAGTACTAACATTTTAAGCCCTTTAAAGATGAACAGCATTATTTTTCTATGTGTTAATGATCTTACACCTTCAAGAAAACTTCAATTAAATGAAGCTCTTCCTGCTGTGTTAAGCTATGACGACAAGCAGCTTTACTTTATCTCGCCTTTTGGTGCCCTCATGTCTTTCCAGAACTCTGCATTATCTTCTGTATTCTTTTCCTATGACCTTCTCCCTTTTCCATCTCTGGTACATGGTATTTTTTTTTAAATCTCAGATATTTCAGAATTTCCTTCTGAAACCACATACAGCACAGAGTTTGTTTTCACTTCATGTAGTTAAAAAAGGGAACTGAAATACTGAATTGCTTTTTTAATCCTCAACAAAAACATCATGTTGAAGAAATTTAAAGAAGAAGAAACTTAAAACATGTAGTTAGCTAGCGAAAAGATCAATTAAAAGAATAAAAAGCTAAGAATTTACTCTAGTACACAGAGATTTCTGACATTTGAAGTTACACTCTATATTAGTTTATTAATGGTAATAGCATTGCCTACTAGTCATGGGAAAATGATGTCAATAAAAACATCAGTATAATAATTTAAAACATTGACAAACATACCTTTGTTTGTCGTATATGAAAAGAAAAAGATCCACAGAGTATGCAGTGCAGCACTTGGGAGTCTTGCCATCCTTGACACTGCCCAGGTTCAGTAGGGCAAGTTGTGCTGAAATTCTGCCAACAGAAAACATTATTATAAGCTTACATCAGTGTCCTAGTTAAGGTGAGGGTGTAGTTCTTCCTACTGCTCTGCTAGATGTTAGGATTCAGATCCCCTGCAGTGCCTGATCCCCTTAAAGTTAGCTCATGGAAGAATGAGAAGCGTAGAAAAATAAGGATAATACAAATGAGCTGGAAGACTTTTCTGCAAAGTTTTAATTACAGAGAACACTAGTCTGACATTGGTAGCAAACCTACACTTTTCAGCTACTAGAAAAGCAAAGCTGCTATATGTGAGATTTTAAAAAGGTAAAAACTAGACCAAAATCACTGACAACCAACATGTCACCAAAGCCCTATGATTCCACTCAGATAACTGAAAGAATTAAAGAATGAAGTGTCTGATCCATTGACTAAAATGTTTTCCCCAAGCCCTATCACCAGTATCCTAGATAATATCATCCTGTTGAAAAAGATTTTAGCAAAGACCTCTGAGCCTTGCTTCAACAGAATGCAGACTCATTAAAACAGTGAATAATTAGAAAGAAGTCATAAACCGCGTTCCTAATCATGATATAATCAGCACAACTTCAGAGAAGGAATATTCAGCAGCTTTTACATACTAGAATTCTTTAAGCATAGCGAAGCTGCTTAAGTAAACTGAAAACAGAGGAAATACTTAATTTAAGATTTTCAAAAAACTTACTCCCTCAAGATTTTTTGCTGATGCAACACAGCCACTTAGTGGAAGATCATATTCCGGATTAGATATGGCCACGAACTTTCCTATCACTAGAAGTGTACGTGATGCATTTAAAATTTTGGTAAATTTGTAGGTAAAGTCATGCTAACTAATATGCAATAACCTTGACTTTGCATTCAGTGTAAGAGGGATAAAACTTACCCAGCAGCACATTGTCTGTTAATATATGTCACTTCCTCTCATGCTTTTGGTATTTTCTAATCTCCAAGCCGGGACAGAGTGTTCTTAGTACCTGCATGCTACAGTTGCTCTGCTCACATCTGCAAAGTTCCCAGGTGGCATGTTATTTTTGATATCAAAACCTCACGATTCTCTCTATGTGACTGAGTGAAGTGAGTGATCTTCTCCGAAGATCTCCTT